ATCCACTATGTCTGGGGAGATGTCCGAGGTCCAGTAGGATCAGTTACCTTCGTGAGACCCGACCGTCAGACACTTCAGACTACCTATGGGCCCCATAGCTGGCTCGTCTGACCCTAACGCTCGGCCCGCGGAGGTGACCCCGGATCACCAAGCCATACACCACTACCAGCCCCCATCATTGGTGGATGAGTGTCTTACTCAATAGGGCTATTTGTGTGGTGGGGTTATTCCACTGGGATCTTCAGAGTTCGTTGGAAAGTACCCCATGGCTGGTGCTTGAGTATCACTCCTGACGACTGAGTGTTGTAGTGGCAGTTGCCCCTGGTCTTAATGGTGCTAAGTTACTATAAGAGTTTATGTGTTATTGAGTATGTCCACCCGGTAGTGGTGTGAGTGTTATTGAGTATGTCCACCCAGTAGTGGTGTGAGTATGTTGAGCCTGAGGGCATAGTACCAGATTTCGTCTGTTGGTACATATATTCTTTCTCCTATCTCCATATTAATATTTAAATAAATTTTGTATTTGTATATTGTGTCTATTATTTACCTACAGTATCTAACGTTATTTCTTCCCTATTACTTGATACTATCATTACATATACCCACGAGCCTCCTCTCGTCACGCTACCAATGGTTATAAGTATTAGAGTAAAGAAAAATGTTATAAGAGGCACGGCCCTTATACTGAAAGTCAACAGTGCCTTACCATCAACACTCATAAAGGATTGTATAAGTTCAAAAGGTTGCCTTGTGGAGTTAAAAGTGCACCAAAGTCTTCCCAATGTGTTATGTTTTCAGGATGATGTCCTTATTGTTGATAGTGACATCCAAAATCATGTCAAAACCCTAGCCACAGTATTCGAAAGATTGTTGGCACACAATGTCAGGCTCAACAAGAGCAAATGTTCATTCCTAGCTAAAGAAGTAACTTATCTTGGCTACAAAGTGAATGCAGAAGGGCTGAGACCTGTAGAAGATAAAGTAAGAACCATAGTAAATTTATTTGCTCCCAAAAAATGTCAGTGAATTGAAAGCTTTCCTGAGTATGATACAGAATTATTCAAGGTTCTTGAGTGGACTTTCATCAGTTTTAGCCCCTCTGCATGAACTGTTAAAGAAAAGGATTCCATGGAAATGGAACAGTGCAACTCACAAGTCATTTGAAGATTGTAAAGCTGCTCTGTCTAGTACAGATGTTTTGGTCCACTATGATACCAGTAGAACACTAAAGCTTGCTTGTGATGCATCAGGCTATAGATTAGGTGCTGTCATAAGTCACATAGTGGATAACGGTGAAGAAAGACCCATTGCATGCCTCGAGAACTCTTACCCAAAGCGAGAAAAAATATTCACAAATACAGAAAGAGGCTTTGTCTATCATATTTGGAGTAAAGAAATTTCACCAGTATTTATATGGTAGGAATTTTGTCTTAATAACTGATCACAAGCCTCTCTTGGCAATTTTGGGTCCTAAATCACCTGTTCCTACACTTGCTGCAGCAAGAATGCAGAGATGGGCTGTGATATTGTCTGCATATGACTATGAGATACAGTACAGACGTTCAGAGGATCATTCCAATGCAGATGCTTTGTCCAGGTTGCCATGTAGTGGATCAAATGATGGTGTAGAGCCTAAGGTTTATGCTGTAACCATGTTAGCAGAAGATTTTCCAGTCACCTCCAGAATGATTGCTCATGAAACTAGGAAAGATTTTGTGTCAGGAAGAGTCCTGGATTATACAGTCAGCCCTCACTTTACGCGGTTAATGTAACCCACAGGGTACCGCGGAAAGTGAGAAACGCGTAAAGTGAATAACATAACATATGGGATTAATTGAAATAGAGACCGGGCCGACCCCCAAACTCCACTTTTTGACGACACACAACTATGTTGTAGTAAAAATATTATCTTAACTTTATGATAGTATGCACACACAATTAATAATTAAGAGAAATATCAATAATATTAGGTTTTTTAACACTTACATTAGTAGAAAAGATGGCTGGGCACACAGGGATGGGCGGTTGGTTCCGAGGCAGAGGGCACATTATTGGCCCTCACTTGTATCAATTGTATCACTATCCACCACAGAGGCTTGCAGGGCCTCTTTGTCAAACCCCCCAAAATCCATATAAGTCCATATCCTCACCATAATTATCACTATCACTGACTTGGGTTGGCTGTGGTGGGTGGCGGGTGAAGAACTGGTAATGTTTTGATGACTGGGCGACCTTGTGCGCACCATGTTCGCGCCGCTTACACAACATGGCGGATGGCGGGAGGTTTGGATCCAAAAATGGCCCGGCTTGCCAGCCGCTCTCCGCGTAAAGGGGTACACGCACCGCGGAATGTGAGCATCCTGGGTTCCGGCAGGGCACCGCGTAAACGTGGAAACGCGGAATGTGGGACCGCGTAAAGTGAGGGTTGACTGTACACTAAATGGATGGCCAGAGATTTGTCCATCCTTAGACTTTCAACCGTATCATTTGAGGAGATGTCAATTATCAGCACAACAGGGATGTGTGTTGTGGGGTATGATAGTGTTAATTCCACAGTGTTTTAGAGGGCAAATTTAGAATGAACTGCATTTTGAACATCCAGGTATTTGTGCTATGAAAGCATTGGCCAGAAGTTTTGTGTGGTGGCCTAAACTGGATGGTGAAATAGAAATTATGGTACGTGAGTGCTGTTTGACAGAATGTTAGTAGTATGCCACCCAGCACACCTTTGAAAACCTGGAAATGGCCTACCCGTCCCTTCCAAAGAGTACACATTGACTTCTGTGATAAGGGAACAGACAAATTTCTTGTATTAATTGACAATAATTCAAAGTGGATTGATGTTAAGCACATGTACAGTACTAATGCTGGTAGCACCATTGATGAATTAAGATTAATATTTGCTGAACATGGAATACAAGAAGAGGTAGTACCTGACAATGGTCCTCCATTCCAATCATTAGAGTTTAAAAACTTCATGAGACTCAACGGTGTAAAGCATGTACTGACCCCACCCTATCATCCTGCCTCTAATGGTGCAGCTGAGAGATCAGTTAGAATTGTAAAGGAAGCACTTTCCAAGCAGGTAATTCAAGGAACTGTAGGAAAATCAATGAAACACAGACTAGCAAATTTCTTACTCAGATACAGAACCACACCACATAGTGTGACAGGATGTACTCCTGCAGAGTTAATGATGAAGAGACAGTTGAGAACAAGATTAAGTTTAGTAAAGCCAAGTCTGTTTGAAGTTGTAGAGAGGAAACAAGCTCAACAAAAGATGTATCATGATAAGAGTTCCAGTGAAAGAGTGTTCAAGGTAACTGATAGGGTGAGAGTTAAGAACATGGCTAAAGGTTATGGTACTGTACATGCAAAGTGGATAACTGATGTTATTGAAAAGGTATGTGGATCTAGGACATAGTTAGTGAAATGTGGTAACTCTTTGAGATATGTTCATGTGGATCACATCATTCAGGCACATGACGAGATGAATGTAGCACCAGAACATGGTGATAAACTTGACAGTTGCAGATGATCATCATGGTGATGAGGTCAAAGATGATGTTTCCCAGCATCCACTCACTGTGTCAACTGACTGTAGTGATGATACGTCTGTCACTGATAATGCAAAGAGTGCAAGTGAAACCCCTGTAAAACTTGATGGAGGGAATAGCCACAAGAACACAAGAATGGAGGAAACTGCAGCAGGCCTATTGGCCCATACTGGGCAGTCCCATTTACACCCAACCCCTTTTGCTCATATAAGCATCCAACCTATGTTTGAAGCTATCCAGCATATTCAAGTTAATGATGATACTTGGCAACTTGTTCCATTCATCCACTACTCTGTTTCCAAACCAGTGTTTACCAATTTTGCGCCTAAATCTAAATTTGTCTAATTTAAAACCATTGTTACGAGTTCGCTCCTGGTTGGATAGTTTGAGTACCTTTGTAATGTCCCCTTTGTTTAGCCCTGACTTCCATTTATACACCTCTATCATGTCGCCCCTCGCTCTACATCTCTCGAGGGAGTGCAAATTAAGATGCTTTAACCTGTCTCTGTATTCAAGGTTCCTAATGCCCGGGATTAGTCTTGTCATTCTCCTCTGGATTCTTTCCAAGGATTCTATATCCATTCTGTAATACGGTGACCAGAACTGCAATGCGTAATCCAGGTGAGGTCTCACAAGCGCAAGATATAATCTTAAGATGACCTCGCTAGTCTTGTAACTAACACTCCTTTGTATGAACCCAAGTACTTTATTAGCCTTGTTACGAGCAAAAACACATTGTTTACTTGGCTTAAGATTCCTACTTATCATTACTCCTAAATCTCTCTCACAGTCGGATTTCTCAATGGCATCGTTGTTCATCTGGTATCTGGTTTCCCTGTTTACGTCTCCTATACTGAGTACTTTACATTTGTCCACATTGAATTTCATCTGCCATTTTTCAGACCATTCGAAAAACTTGTTTAGATCTTCCTGTAGTTTTGCGGAGTCCTCGTCAGATTAATTACACATCCTATTTTAGTGTCATCAGCAAATTTACTTATGTTGCTGTCTATGCCGATATCTATGTCATTTATGTATATAATAAATAATAATGGTCCAAGTACTGAGCCTTGGGGAACTCCACTAGTGACGTTGCTCCAATGGGATTTAGTGCCGTTAATGCTCACTCGCTGTTTCCTGTCCTGTAACCATGCCCTAATCCATTTTAGAATATTACCTTTAATGCCATGTGCTTCTACCTTTCTTATTAGTCTTTCGTGGGGGACTCTGTTGAAGGCTCTGCTTAAGTCGAGATATACCATACCATAATTGTGCCCCTCGTCCACAGATTCAAAAACTGATGAAAAGAATGTGAATAGATTAGTTAGATCAAACAGAGTTAGGAGACCTGTAAGTTTTGTTTATTTAGGATTTGTAGCAGCCATGCTTTCTTTTGAAAGGGAGAAACAGTGTTATATATGTGTATGTTTATATGCTGCCTTTATTGATTATATATACATTATATATTATGTTACTTTTTACCAAAGTTAGAATGTGTTTAGGCCTGTGTAATCATGAATGTGTTTGACACGTGGTACGACAACAATAACAATAAACCACCTGAGTAAGAGTCAGCATGTGGCTTCTCATTCTCCCATTAAATCATGTAAGATACCTGAGCTACATTAATGACTTATAAAATAATAATTACTTTTGTTATTCTAATTACTCACCTTGTGACATTTTATGACAATTTATGGTGTTTTTGTGAATGTACTAAAGTAGTTAAAAAAAGTTAGTTTCCAATGCAGAGAAAAACTGCAAGTGATGTTTTCTATGTTTACTACATCATGGTTTAATAAGGGTTGTTTCCTACTCTACCATTACAGCTCCTTCAACTATTGTGCATAATTTGTGTTATAACTTCATATTACTACAGTACTGTATATTACGGAAGCTTCCCTGTTTTCCCCTACAATTATTGTACTTCCACAGCAAATTGTCACAATTTACTTTTTTCTCCCACTTTTAAATGAGTGATTTATCTAAACTGCAGTGGCCAGCTCTACAAGTACTGTACCTGACCCTGACCCTTACTCAGCTTGAAGTTCTTGTCTGGCTCAAGCTGGCAGCAGTCACTCACGAAGCTTCACATAATTTTTTGGCCCCAACTTCCTCCCTCTATCTCACTGTGAGAAACTTCAGATTGTGGTGGTAGTGTTGCTGGTGGCTTCAACGAGGGGAGAGTCCAGGTCATACTGAGTAAACTGCACCAAAATGACCACTTGAGTGATCAAGAACTGTAGCAACTGCAGGAGGAGCACAAGAAGTAGATCTTTACTTGAAAGTCTGGTTAGGTTAGGTTGGGTTAGGTTAGGTTAAGGAAGGCAAGGAAAGATGAAGGTGGGTCCCATACACTTGATGGGCCATTGGGGACAGTGTGGACACAGCACACTTTATACTCAGGGTAAGGTACATGAAGAGGTAAGGTGAATGGCACTGCACCTTACTGCTTTCGCTTCCACAACTGTCAATTTAGGTACCCATTTACAGGTGGGTGCATTATTAGGACATGGGGGAAGCACTATATCCACTCAGCCACCACACCACATAAGGTAGGGCTAAAATGGCTGAAATAAGTAAGTGGTGCAGGTTGGATATAGATCAATGGACAGTTATGGGATTATATCTAGTTCTGAAATTATGTCTGCGAAGCTTAATGGAAGTGCAGCTGTAACATTGAATGAATGGAAGCAAGTGGGGAAGTCTTTGTATGTGTGCTTCAGTTTGATTCTCTCACTCTAATATAACAGCAAAAGGCTTGAAGGAATGAAAGAAAAAAATATTATTATTACTGTAATTATCAAACATTTAACCTTGAAGTAATATTTACATTCCACAAGTTGGGAAGGGTCAGGTTGATGAAGTCATTAACGGTGAAGACCAAAGGTGCGGTGAGAAGGTCCCGCCGGATACCACTCACCTGCCAATAACAGGAATAACTCAAATATTAGTTTCAGAGTAGAGTAAACAGTTTACAGTCGCCCTTCTCCTTCAAGAACATTCCTAATTGTACATCTTCCCACACCAATTGTTTGGAGGTGATCAAAACTCACATACTCTCTTGACAGACACACATCCAAATTGACCAAAAATGGCTCTTTGGTTTTTGGTCCAACCATTTTTCCTTTCATCTATTTTTTTGCAAAAAAATTAAAAATTGGGCCTCACATGGACTGCTGTTCTCACACTGTGGAGGTGCATCCTCTTCACTCCTATACATCATACAAGCCAAAGTCATATGCCATATCTGATCCAACCTTCACTAAATATCCGACATTCAGCATTAAATCTTTCTTTACTCCAATGTTACTGCAACATTTAAACCAAAACCTCTGACCTATTTCAGCCCATATGCTCTAGTGGCTACTTTACTGTTTGTCAGCAACACTCTTGAAACACTAAATATACTGTACAGCAAAACATGCTTCTTCTTCTTCTCAACTTATATTCCTTGTACAGGTGTATCTCATAACAGTATTTGTTGTATTTGTTTTCTTCCCAAAACAAATAAAAATTTCCACTCTTGTAAACCATCATCTTTTTGCGATCAGTGAATCAACCAATCTAATGCCATCTTTCCGTCACTTGATACCTTATGTCTACATACAGTCTAACCAACAGTAATTGGGAACCTGGATGTTAATCGATTTGCGGATCGTGTTCCTGGGTAATGGTTAGCCAGTGCAGTTGGCGAGCTGTTCGGTTTTCTCGGACTATTCCTTGACATGGGTCACTCAGGGTGTGGTTGTTGAGTTGGCAACAGCTTCTATGCCTTAAACAAATTCACACCTAAGTGGCCCTTGGGTTGACCATCCTTGTTACACAAGGGACAACCATTATTATACCAAAAGGGGACGATTTGGCTCCTTACATGCCTTGCCATCTCCATATAATCTGGAGCTCTCCTAGTACAAAACATGCAGGCCGATTCTTACATCTTTAAACTACTGTACAGTAATCATTTTTTGTATTACCACAAACATGAGGCAGAAGAGAAGCTCTGCTTGATTTGCAGCACATCACTGATTTTCACTCCCAGCAGTGTACCTACCAACAGTAAGACCCCTGAGAAGTGAGCGACCTTCTGTACAACAAGCTGACAAGTGACATAAGGAAGTGTAATAGCTGCTCAATGTGGCACTGTTGACTCATTTATCTTTCCTCTTTACATTCTTAAAGTTGACATGAATTTCTCCCATACACACACTACCACATCAGGGCTGTCCTTACCTCCCGAGAATACTGATCGTGCCCTTCACCCTTGCCCTGAAGAAGATGAATGGTTGCGTTTCCCTGGAATCACAGAGAAAATTTCATACAGTAAATCCTGCAACTCCATACAGTAGCTACAAACAATCCAAAATCTAGAACAAATACACTTATTTATTGTTACATCTTGTTATATCTTAAAAGTGGAAAATCAAAATGCCTGCTGCAATTTCTAAAAGGTTCTTCTTAACTGAAGATGTCGGAATGCACCTAACTGGTTGAATTTGATCAGAGTATTTTTTTTTATAAAATTAACATCAAATTACAGTAAAGGTACACTGAAACTCAAACTTAACTAGAGGCATTAACTGAGCACCCACTGCCATATAACACTGGTGACCAAGGAAGAAGGTGAAGATGAACTGAATGATGGCAATGAGGACCAGGGTATATCTTATCCAGGTGTTTTCCCACATCACTGCCACCTGTGGTTGCTCCAGGCTCAGGTAGCCAATGGCCAGTGAATAACACAGGTAGGTGCTTGTCCGCAATAACTGAGGCATGATCCCAGTCTTCATCAGGTCCTCAGTACCATTACACAACCCCCTACCATGGAAAAATGGAGAGGAAGAAACAGTCAGCACGGGGGTTTCTTAACCTTTAGGTTAAACAAATGATCTCAAAAGGTTAAACCACTGTAATCAGTTAAACTATTATCGTTAATGAGTTAAAATCAGTGTGTAAAGTACTAAAATAAGTATGCACCTTTAAATAGTGTTCAAGAAGTGCTGAATGTGTACAAATGGTTCTCAATAAAGCTATGGATAAAAACATTAGTAACTCATTGTCAGGTAAACATAACAGTTCTTATTACCTGAGCTATAACCAAAGAATTTGGTTTACATCTTGTTGTCCAGTTTATCATCCTCAGCTACATGCATTAACTAAGGTTAAAGTACGTAGTGACTACAATGGATTGGTTTTGAACCCGGTCTTCTCTGGGAGTAATGGGCCATAGGTACGGCCTTCAGGCAAAATATATCACATACCTGGCCTGCATGACAAGCTTCCTGGAAGTCTGGAGACAGCAGAGATCAGAAGACTGGAGGGCATAGGAGAGAGTGGCATTGGCAGAGTGGAGTTGGTGTGTGTGGTGAGCCAGCAACACCCACAACACACTTATCATGACGTTCTCCATACCTGAGAAATGTGCTGCCATTCCCTGTAACATGGTTACTAGTTATCCTCTCACTCACACTGAGGTAAATATCAAAAGTAATCCATGTTTAGGGCATTTTAATATAAAGTGGGGTGTTTTTACTTAACTTGTGTGTGTGGGTGTGTGTATGTGCACGCACACACACACACAGGGTGGTGAAATGCATCTAGTGTAGCAGCATTATGTTAGAGCACTGCTTGCTCCCTCTCGCTTTCAGCTACCACTGCTGGCTAGCCCTTGTGGCGAACATGGAATCAACTTGCATAAGTCTTCCCCTGCCAGTACAGTGAGTTCTTCCATAACGCGTGTTTTGACAACGCGAATTGGCTCTAACGCGATTAATGAATAGAGGAACAATATTTGTAAAACGTGAACGCGTTTGCTCTTACGCGATTCCACTCGAACGGTTGTTGTGGCTTGGCGCGGGGTTATGCAGTGTTTACAGTTCACGTTCGACATCATATGTTCAATTGAGTTATGTGTTTTGTTTGTAAAGAATTGCAGAAATAATTTATGTAATATTTATGTATACAGTATACCTGTACAGTATATGTAAATTGTAAAATTTTAAATAAGAGAGAAAAACAAAATACGTAGCGTTTTAGACCCGCGCGCTCTGTTTACACTACACCATCAGTCTGAAACACGTGTGAAGTTTTTAAGTGTCCTCAGTGATTTCTGATTACTGTTTCTCCAATTTTGTGACTATGGAAAAGAAGAATATCTCCGGGAAGCGTTCTGGTGATCGCATTTCCGGTGGTGATCGTAAAAGAAAGGCTATAACACTTGAAGAAAAGCTTGATGTTGTCAATCGTTTTGAAAATAAAGAAAGAACATGTGATATTGTGCGTGCAACGGGAATAAAGGAATCTACTTTACGCACCATTAGAGACAATGCAGCAAAGATTAAAGCAAGCTGTATTGCTGGGAAAACCTTGAGTGCTAGCAAAAGTGTGAGATCACGGCCAAAGGAACTTGAGGAGATGGAATGGCTTCTAAGTGTTTGGATAGAAGATCAAACGAAAAAGCGATCTGGGACCAGCTTCCTCACCATTAAAGAGAAAGCCTTATCAATATATGAGGACCTAAAGAAAAACTGCACCTGATAATGATGATACTGTTGATGAGGATGACAACTGTCAACTCCTGTCTGCATGACTCCTCAACTTCAACATCAACCTTCTCCCCCATCAAGTTATATTCATATATTTTCAAGGTAAAGTGTAACATTTACTGTATGATTTCATTATTAGATATGAATGTAACATTTATTTATACTGTGCTATCCTTTGTGTTAGGCTAACTACTAAATTTTTTTCGATTTCGAGTAATCTGCACCTAACCCTATTTTCTCCATAAGCCCTGTTATTTCTATTACGCGAATTTCTATAACACGATGTTTTACAAGAACACAACTATCGCGTTATAGCAGAACTGACTGTACACAGCCTCTTCACCATCAAGACTCCTGCTGTGCCTCCTTGTGGCAACACAAAGTAACTGGGAACCTCGTGGGTCAGGGCTAGATCAGCAGGGGATCTCGGAGTAGCAGTGGGCCCCAGAGGGACGGCGCATAGGCTCAATGGCATGTGAACACGTCCTGGCGCCTACCAACCACTGGCCCACTGCCTTGCGGATTAACCTTGGCAGGTACAAGGCTACAGGAGTAAACCCCGAACAAAAAATCTAGGGTGGAGCCCCGGATCAGGCACACATGCTTACAGAGCTCCAACAAGACCCCCAACGGCAGTGTAGGAGGAAGAGGTGACCACAGTGGAAACCCAACGGCTACACCGGCAAACGAAGGCAATGCATGATGGACAGGCTCCTAAGGTGAAAACCAACAAACTGGGCAATCTGCAGTCCATTGGAAGATGTGTGGTTGCAGCCTGCGCTCCTGCCTCACCACATAAATCAACTCACGCGCCGCCATCATCCAGTTCATCATACACCTGATCGTTATCAAAACCCCCTATACCCCCCAAAAGTCCAATGGCGACGGGAACAGAGATGACTACCAGGAGTCTGAAGTCACAACTCTGCACATGGGCGGCACAGATAAGATGGTCGTTTATGCACTGGGATCTAGGAAGCAGTGCAGTCCGGTCCTGTCTGTGTGACTGAGCAGTTCTTCCGAGGAGCCACTCTGCTCACCCCACATGGGAAGGGGGCTAGAAAAGGTGCCCTAAACATAACCTGGCTAAAAACCAACCTGACTGTGCAACCACACCCAGTAAGGTCATTCTTATGCAGTCAAAAACACTACCAAAATCACAGATCCAAACAAAAACAAACAATACAACCTCTTATGGTCACTGCATGGAATGTCAGAAACCTTCTCAATACTGACACAAATGCCGGTCCTGAAAGAAGAACTGCCCTTGTGGCAAAAGAGCTGGCTAGGTACAACATCGACATAGCAGCCATCAGTGAGTCCCGGCTCCCAAGATGAGGGCCAACTCACAGAACAGGTGTCTGGCTACACCTTCTTCTGGAAGGGTAAGCCTGCTGTGGAGAGAAACCGCATTTATGGAGTTGGCTTTGCCATCCGCCAACGTATCCTACACAGGCTAACTGAAGTACCTATTGGGATCAACGAGCACCTGATGATGCTTCGAGTCCCACAGAATCACTTACGTCATGATTTCTTCATCAGTGCATATGCCCCCCAACACTAGATGCAGAGGATGACATCAAGGAGGCCTTTTACGCCGACCTCGACAGAGTGCTAACCTCTATCCCCAGAGAAGACAAGGTTGTGCTCCTTAGCAACTTCAATGCCACAGTTGACAGAAATGCTAACATTTGGCAGGGAACTATAGGGTAAATGGACTAGGCAAGCGTAATCCCAATGGCTTACTCCTCCTCAGCAAGTGTGCAGCTCATAACCTAACTATGACCAATATCTTGTTAGGCAGGCCGACAAGTTCAAAGGTTCGTGGCAACACCCACGCTCCAAACACTGGCATCTGATTGACTACATCATTGTCAGAGAAAAAGATTGCCGAGATGTCATCACCCAGGCCATGCGTTGCTCAGACTACTGTGACACTGATCATCAACTCGTCAGATCCAAGCTCTCACTTCACGTCGACTCAAAACGGCGAAGGCAAACACCCTGTAAAAGAGGTTTTAATACTAAGCGCCAGGAGGATCCAATGGTAACACATGCTTTCAGAGACCAGCTCGAACATGGGCTTATAACCAACCCAACAGCAAACAACGGGAATTCCAGTGTCGAATGGGATACTCTTAATACTGTTATGACAAAAACCTGCAGAGAGACCATCGGCCAGATCAAAAGAATACACCAGGACTGGTTTGATGAAAATGACCCGGCAATCAATGTACTCATCAATGATAAATGTGCTGCTTTAACTGACTGACAGAACAACCCTCAGTCTAGGAACAAAGCTGATACCTTCCACAAGAAGAAAGCGTTGGCCCAGCGGGAACTTCATAACCTGAAGAACGACTGGTTTAGAAATAAAGCATGTGAAGCACAAAAATTTGCAGATCAGCACAAGATGTGCGAATTTTTCAATTCCACCAAAATGTTTTATGGGCAAATCACTTGTGGCATAGTCCCCCGTGGCTCATCTGATGGTAACTCCACAATTAAAGACAATGAAGGCCTCCTTCAGCGTTGGGAATAGCACTGCCATTCACTGCTCAACCGAAAAACTGATGTGGATGTCCTGACTACCCAGCAGGTTCCTCAGCATCCAGAGCTGACCCACCTCAGCTATCCTCCATCCCTGCTTTACACGGTTTCGGTTTCACTTTCCACGATTTCTCGATTTCTCATTTACTCATTTACGCGGTACCTTGCCAGAACCGGACTTTCACTTTCCGCGGTGCATCTACTCATATATGCGTGAAGTATAATTTATTTATTTATTTTTTTTATTTAGTTCATAAAATTCATACAAATTACCCTGCCAGAATATAATTTACATTGCTGGAATTCTTACAATATGATGATCATTTTGAATATAAACATCATGGATTTTGCATTAGACATACAAATTTTAGATCTAATGTAATAATTTGGTTTACACAAAGCAAATATTTTATCATTTGTGCAAAATATATGAAGTTTACATTCAAAATATTCCCTGACCTGCAAGGAATCTAGAAATGTCAATTATATTATCCTAACTTTAGTCTAGGTTATTATTTATTACAAAAAATGTAAATATACTATTTTCTCCCAATCTCTTCTCTGGTAGGAAGGGAGGGAGGGAGAGTGGAGGTGGGGAATTTTTATTGACAGATGGTGTCCTTGAAGAATATTTCTTTGTTTATTTACTGAAGATATTTGTTTTAGCTCATAAAATTCATACAAATTACCCGGCCAGAATATAATTTACATTGCTGGAATTCTTACAATATGATGATCATTTTGAATATAAACATCATGGATTTTGCATTAGACATACAAATTTTAGATCTAATGTAATAATTTGGTTTACACAAAGCAAATATTTTATCTTTTGTGCAAAATATATGAAGTTTACATTCAAAATATTCCCTGACCTGCAAGGAATCCAGAAATGTCAATTATATTATCCTAACTTTAGTCTGAGGTATTATTTATTACTAAACGTTAAAATCTAGTGGTTTCACCCAAACATTTCTCAGAGAGGTAGGAGCTAGTGAGCTGGGAAGAGGGGGTGGGGGGATTTGAGTCCATTATTTGAATGGACATTAACCTGGCGACTGTATTTCTCTTAAATATTAATTGTGTGAGCATACCATCATAAAATTTAGATGTTATTTTTACTACAACATAGGTATTGTGTCGGAAAAAGTAGAGTTTGGGGGTCAGGCCAGTCTCTATTGGAATTAATCCCATATGTTCTGTTGTTCACTTTACGCGGTTTTCACTTTCCACGGTACCCTGTGGGTTCAATTGACCGCGTAAATCAGGGTACTACTGTATATATATATATAAATATATATATACTCTGTATATATATATATATATATATATATATATA